TTAACTAGATTTTGATAGACCTATTTTCCTTTTTTTTTAAGCACACTGAACAGATGGAAATTGCAATATTGAAAGTCAGCAGTTTTGCTGCCAAAGGTGGGGTGAAGGGAGAGATAGATTGGTTATGCAGATGAAGGTTACATGTGAGACAGCTTACAAGTACTTAATTCAATTAACAATTGAAATTCCATTGCCTGAAACCTTTTGATGTATGTGAGCTCAACAATTTCTTGTTCAATGGTGCTGTTAAAGTCCCACTTTTCCAAAACAGTCACTTTGATATCTGCCATGGAGTGTTCTCGGAGGCTGAAATGCTCTGATATTATTTTGTCCTGTTTTTGAGTCCTGATGTCAAATTCGTGTCAATTATTTTGTGCAAAGTTTGCCCCATTTATCCTATGTAGAATCCAGAGGGGTATTGCTGGCAGATGATGGCATATATAACATTGGAGGAAGCACATGTGTAGGTACTCTAATCCTGTGCGTGTACTTGTTAGGGCCTGTCGTGGTGCTGTTGGTGTAGATGTGGAGACAACGTAGACATCTGGGTTTTTAGCAAGGACTGGTTCCCATGTTGGCATCGTCCTGTGGTTTCTTGTTGCTTATGAGAATCTGTGTCAGATTGGGTGGTTGTCTGTATGCAAGCATGGGCCTACCACCTAGTGCCTAAGAAAGTACAGTGTCATTGTCCAGTATGGGCTGTAGCTTATTAATAATGTGTTTCAGTAGCTTGAGCTGTGAGCTGTAGGTAACAACTAGTGATGTTCTGTTTCTGTTCCAGCTTTTAATAGTTCATCCTTGGGAATTGATCTGGCTGTCTTGATTTGTTTGTTAATCTCCTTGGGTGGGTAGTTCAGTTTTCTGAATGCCTGGTTTAATTCCATCACTTGAGCATCTCTGTCAAGTGAGTTAGAGTAAATGTGGTTGTAGCATAGAGCCTGACTACAGATGATTGATTTGGTGGTGTGTTCTGGATGGAAGCTGGAAGCATTTAGGTATGCATGTCAATCTGTAGGTTTCCTTTATAATGTGGTGTTTATGTAACCATTGTGTAGTTTTAGGGTAACATCAAGGAAGTGAACTTGTTCTGTAGATAGGTCTAGGCTAAGGTTGACGGCAAGGTGGAAATGGTTGAAGTCATGATGGAATTTGATGAGAGATTCATTTCCTTTATTTATTTTTACACACACACACACAAATTTTATTAAATGTTTTAAAAACATAAAAACACAAACTAATACAGAATAAAAAAGCAAAGAAAAAGAGAAAGAAAAGAGAAAAAGCAAAAGTGCAAAAAGAGAGAATAGAAAGAAATAGATGAAGTTTCCAATTTCCTTTGCAGCAAATATAAGTATGATTACAAAGTTATCTCTTACTCTATGATTACAAAAAAAAGCTCACTCTTTTCTATTATCCATTTTTTTCCTAATCATCAAAACAAGTCATAAGTGCATTTTTTCCATTTCATGCAAAACCCGCTCCCCATTGGGGGGAGATGGGCGGGAATATAGTGGGGCAAAAAAGTATTTAGTCAGCCACCAATTGTGCAAGTTCTCCCACTTAAA